CGCCTTATCCTGAGTTTCGCCCCGAAAAAAACTTACCGAAAATTTGTATTTCGCCCATAGTAAATACATGGAAACCAAAAGTGAAAAGTGAACCGGTTCGGGGAAAATGAAACTCATCATAAGGCTGAAAGCCCGAAATTTAAATTTTTTAAATATGAATTTTTCTTTTATTTTTTACGAAGCAAAAACACGACAAAAAGTAGGTGACCATCGGTGTCCGCTTATGGGAGCTTTCACTGTAATTGAAAGTCTACTTTGAAATAAATGCAGTGGGTAAATGTTTCGAATTTTGATACTCTATTTACTGAAAGAAACATCTTCCATCGGGGTTTTATTATGTTTCACCTGTGTGTAATCAAATCTTGCAATCAATTCTAGCTCAGAATCCGATGACAATGCAATATGAAAGATGAATTAATCCGCTAAGTGGCATAGGTGTCGGGATATTCGAAAATACTCAAATAATTATGGTAGGATGCAAACGGTTCTTTAAACAACGAAAATATCGGCCTGAAATTCGGTGTTCGATATCGATATTTAATAATTTTTAACATCGCTAAATTCACGATACATCGATGTTAATTTCAACGATGTTTTAAACATCGACTGCGGTGTAATTCTCAAACTTGTCTTGGATTAAACTTACCCATATTTTAAAAACTAATCATTTTTTACTGATAATGAATTTTAAATTATTCATTCTTGAGGGAGAACATTCAGAAATTTCGAGCTTAGCGTCCAGTATGGAAAATGCTAACATAACTACATATTAATAAAATTATAGTTTAAAAACTAAAACCTCCCTATTATAATTGCCATTCGTACTGTCGTGCGGTATGTAACTTGGGAATATAAATCACTGCATCTTTTAGGCGCATCAATATTACATAGTTACATCCCGAGTTAATAAAAGGAAAGTAAAAAAATACATGTATATTATGTAATAATAGATTCGCTAAACTTAAGATCTTCAATCAAACTGATTATGTTGGCAGTACATCAATCGTAGCATCTCTCACTTGTAAAAAATTTGCCTCCTACATATTAAGTAATTAATTGGGGTCAGAGTTTTCAGCCAATAAAATACATTCAAACAATTCCATGTTCGTTTTAATACCCTTTACATCTGACTTGGTTTCAGCGGCCATATTCAACATGGAACTGCGAAAAAGTTTCACAAAACTCTAGACTCTAGAGAGTTGGGATATAAAAAATTCTTTGTTTATGTTTATACTAGCGCCCCAAATTTCAATCCGTTGGTTTTGAAATCATACTCACCGTAGAAAATGTATTTTCTTCCTTCAGTTTATAAGAGAATGTTGTTTTTTTTTTGTGGGGGACATGTATTTTTCATATTGAAGAAAAGCACAAATCCCTTTTTCCACGTAATCGGTTTATACCAAAAGTTATCGTATTTGCATATATCAAAACTTGATTCCCTTTTTTTGATTTTTTTCATTGCCCGGGCCCCTGACATTCGGCCCGGCCCGAGACAAGTGACCACCCCGACCTCCCTTGCAACGGGCCTGAATATGACTACAAATGAGAACGAAGAAGATTTTATAGCTAATACTTACTTGTGCTATAAAACGTACTCAACGTACCGGATTAGATAAGCGCGTACATACCTACCATCACAGGTTTCACAATGCTGCACTATTTATACATACACTGGTGGAAGAAATAATAGAAACTTTTAATTTTACCAGCTTTCACAATATTTCTTTTTTTTATTTAAGGTTTAATATTTTTTTTTGCCTAGCGTATTATTTTTAATATTTTCTTTTGCTGACGCTGCTTTGCATGTTCTTCCATAAAAGTAATGGAAGAAAATGAACAACTGTGTAAGCAAAATTTTCAAAAATTCTGAGTAAAATGTTTGAAATTTTTGGGGATTTTGGAGAAAATTTTCTGGACTTTTATGATTTTTGCACAAAGGTTGAAATGCTATATAAATCCGCTCTTGTTATATAACATAGGCCAACAAAACTTAAACAATGTTATGTTGACTAAAATATTACCGCCAATTCTATAGAGTTTTTTCTGTAGAATCCGAATCTGGCCCTAAAGATATTAGATTGCTCTATTTTACGAGCACCTTAGATTTAAAGGTGCTGAAAATACATTTTTGGACATTTTTAAGCCTCTGTAAAACAATAAATTGATACAATATATCTGTCAATGTGGGAGGATATGAAAGCCCAAGCACTGCGCTTTAATACTCAAAATCAAAAAATTATGGTTAAACGGTTAACGGCCTTTAACCACATACTGCAGAAGTTCCAGTACCAATCTGTTTAGTACAACTGGAGGTTTCATGGATTAATCACCAAATACCGATGGACACAGACTCTAGAAGTGGAAATGAAGATGAGAACACCGTTAAGCCCAAGTTGCTTGAAAACTATAGCCAAATAAAAATTTTCAATACCAGATTCCGGCTCTACGGAAAAAATCCTATAAGGATCGAATGTAAGATTTTAGTCAACATAAATTTTGTTGGCACATACTATGTTCTCTTAGATGAAGGTTTCAACTTAAATTTTAGCCTCATTAGAAATTTTCTGCGCCTCAGATTCATTTTACGCAAGTGATCGAAACAAGAGTTAAAAACAAAATCGTTTGTACTCGTATAAAAAAAAAAAATTTTTCCAATTGCTTTTTGTTTGGACCATAAAATGTCCAAAAACGCGTTTTTGGCCCGTTTAAACCTAAGTTGCTCGAAAACTAGAGCCAATCCTATACCTTTACGTTCAGATTCGGATTCTACGGGGAAAAATCCTATAAGAATTTGCTACAATATTTTACTCAACAGAATTTTGTTGGGCAGTGTAATGCGCTGGACTTTTATAAAAGAAAAGTATTTAACATCATATAACCAAAAGAAACATCAAAATCTAGTCAAAATCAAGAGTTTATATTATTTCTTCCAACATTGTATATACAGTCAGTGTCAAAAATATGAATACCCTCCTGACGTTTTGACGATTTTCTTTATTTTCATTTTCCATACCATTTTTTTATATATATTTTTTTTTTTTTGTTATAAAAATATAGCTCAAAAAACCAGCAGAATCAAATTTTTCCAGTTCATATAGAAATCGGGAAAATTCAAGAAAAACCAAAAAAATTTACAACTTATCAATTCGATTTCTTATAAAAATTTTCAGTACGCAGATTTGTAGCCAATTAAATTTTAGTATGATAAAGTCAAAGTTTCAATTCTATAAAAATTACCGTTGATTTGTGAGAATTTTTTTTCTTTCACATAAAAATTGATCTTCATGTGTTATATGGAAAAACAGCGCAATGGAATTGAAAAGTTGAAAATTTTGATGACAACTGTTTTGGTATTACTCGAATTTTCCCCGAGTTCTATATGAAATTGAAAAAAAACACGGATTCTACCGGCTTTCGCAGTTGACTTAACTATATTTTTATAAAAAAATACGAAAAATTTGGCATGAAAAATATAAATAAAAAAACGTCACCGGTATTCATACTTTTGACCCTGATTGTACGTACTTGTGCATCTATGTATACTGAAGACAGTTAACACATTTAAAAATTTTGATTTTTAGCATTTTTATTTGTAGTTTATTTTTATCAATACCTTAATACTACCAGAATTTTTAAATTGATTTTTGAGTTTAAAATTTAAATTGTATTTTAAACATAGAAATTTACCAAAAAAAAAACAATTATGTTCATAATTTTATAGCATTAAGGTGACTTACGCTCGTACAATAATTCATTCATATTTGAAAATCAAATTAAACAATGATGTTTTTAGGTATGGGTGTATGTTCCTGTGCATGAATGGTGTTTTTTTGTTTTCATTTGTTTTTGTTTTTTATGTATGCGTACTTAAAATTACATCTATTTATAGATACAATACCAGAGTAGAACAATCCTTACTGCTTTGTGGATCTCATTTTGCAAAAGGAATTTTCCAAGTTTAGAGAAGTCAAACAGAAAAAAAAAAATCAAATGAAAAAAAAACAATGCGTATATGCGTATATTTATAGTCATATACATGTGAATAAGTAAATTATAAGGAAAATAGGCCAATAGTTATAGTAACTCACAAGACAATTTAACGGAAATTATTATGTATTTAACTCTACTTCTTTAGATTTATTTAGTTTATATTGCATTTTTTTAGAGAGTTTTCTTGAAATTGCGTAAATAAATGTAATTATTAGGAAGGCTCAAATTATTGAATCTCGATTACATCAAAATAATCTCAACATCGCTTTAACAGCCTTTTGGCGGTTTCGCAGCGTGATTCGCAATAGAATTGACAGGAACGCAGACTGACATCGTAGAACTCAAACTAAATTATGATAAATAATGTTTTTTTTTTTTAACTTCAATTTGAAGATTCAACTGTTTGGCATATACTACATACCGAAATGCACATTTACATATCTGTGTAAATATGTACGCATGTTTGTTCCTTGCAATTTCCTAAATTTTAAACTGTACTGCTAAAAAATTAAAAAAAGTTCAACAAAAGTGAGCTTAAAACTTCTGTTATACTATTGTGAACGACTTGAAGAGTTATAGGTTTAAAAATGTTAAATTCATATATAGGTATGTATTTATGATGAGCGAATTTTACTGGTAACTCACTACAAAAACCCACTGCTTTATGCGTATTAAACATTAAATTTCGCTGCCTATAGTTCAATATTTGTAGTTGTAAACTAAAAATGCCTTAAAGTGCTCACTAATTATTGAATTGCCTAATCGCTGAACTGTGTTTGAAATACCTATACCGCGTTTAAATATGAGCGGCAGTTAAATTCCAGTTGAAAAAAATGAAAAAAGAGACTGCAAAAGCGGGCTTTAAAATAATGTAAAACAAACATATTTAACAGATTTACATTAATTAATTGCAAAAATACACAGACGCATTATGGTAGAAATTTTCTATAATTTCTCAACTAAAAATTTTGTAACGGGCATAATTCTTAAAAAGTTTATATTTTGTTCAATACTCTGAAACCAATTATGTTTTTTATTTGAACAATGTAAATATTAATGAACGAATAAGCGTGTTTATATTCCTATTAAGAAATACTTGATTTACTTATATACATAAGCAAATACTTGTTTAAGATTTAAAGTTTTAACCAAATACTCTGACGGATGCTGTTGAATAAGTCAGTGTTTTTCGCTGTTTTTTTACTTGTTTCTTTTTTTTTCTCATATAAACTAAGTAACTACATTAATATGCTGCCTGTATCTGTACTAAGTGCTAAGTGTAGGTCAATATGTTCATACATGGTGCTGACGATGATTGACAACGCCGACGCATCGACGAGTAGCTCCTTGTTTATTACATTTGTATGTATAAACGTTTCTTAGATGTGGCTGTTTTTTTTTGTTTAAATATTGAATTACATCTTCGCTTTGCTGCTGATCGGCGTCGTTAAAATATAAGATCGGAAAAACTATTACAGGAATTTGTATGGGATTGAGTTTTGGTTCTATGCGCGTATTTTTTATCTTCAGGTCAATTTACGGTTCCAATAATTCACTATTGACTTTTATTTATTTATAAGGTTTTTTTTCTTTCACAATGCTTGCTTAATGAGTCCTCTCCTAATTGTTGGCGCTTTTGAACTATTGGACCTCTGATGGCTCTGGTTTGTTTGAAGCAGAGGAAAGATGGTTATTAGGGTCTGGTGCATTCAGGGGCTGCAAATAGATGGAGAAAAAAAAGAAATATTATAGGTACATATTCAAGTGCTAATGATTTCAGGTACAAAATAATAATCTAGCGATATAAATATATGAGAGTACAATGCAAATATACCAAAACAATGCATGACGATAAAGGACATTAATAGAAGAGAAGAAAATTATTTAATGCAGGGGTCTATGTGCACATGTAGATTAGTGGCGTAGAGTTTCAACGACATTTCATATTCCAGTTGCAATACATACATACACACCCTCTACTTATATTCTATCTAATATTCTCATATTTTTTTAAGAACCGAAGTTCAACTAATATTTGAAGAAATATTGCCAAAAAAGGAACCTTGTATATTTGACCTTGCATTAAGTCAAAGTCCTTGCGCACTAAGAGAAATTAATGTAGTAGATAGAAAAAAAAATCAAAATGTAGACAAACCAAAAAACAGGTTCAAACAAATTACAGAAGCTCCATTGGGAGGTCGGAAGAAGGTGGTGATAATGCCATCATAAGGAAGTTTATGAAGCGTTCTAACTGCTTCGATGGGCATCTGCATGTAATTTCTTCCATATAACGTATGAACAAAATCTAGTTTAATACGGAAGAAGATGCGCAACACTCTGGACAAAAAATTCTAAAAATTCAACGGCAATTTTTAAGGACTTGAAACTGAAAAAAAATTGTATGGGCTACAAAAAACTACACGAAAATTTTCTTATAATTTTGATGCAATTTTTTTTAAGTTTGATTAATTTTTGTGAACTTTGTGCAAGCTTTAATACTTTTATTAGTGTGGTTTCCGTTGTAGATCCAGATATATTTTAAATGAAATTTATTAAAAATAAATAAATAAGCACAAGTTGCGAACAATATCACTTCGTATTTTGCTAGATACTATCTTATTAACTACATCTGATTTATGTATGTATATATTAAAAAGCTTGGTCGTCCCGAATCCATGCGATTAAGCTTAAGTATGAAAAAAAGAAACAATTAAAACGTTCTTGACCTGCCACAACAGTTATAAAAACCCTCATAACCTTGCAAAAATATGTTCCAAGACGCTGAGTATCCGTGTGTATGTCATACTTATGGTGTGTTCCGTTTCTTTCCGATAATTAGTCTGTTATTTTGCTCACCCGCGAGCGCCCAAAAGTGCGAAAATATGGTTTTTGTGTTCCCGTGGTTTTGGGAAGTTTATGCACTTTGGTGAGAACATTCCATATTTACGCTCATTTGCCCGAAAATGTAAAAAAAAAACCTAATGTTGCAAAATATTTATGTTTGATATTACACTCAACCCTGTAAAATGCATTTTTTTGTCTACTTATCATTGTCTAGCTCATGCATATCATAATATTGTCGTTTTAAAAAGTATCCGTATAACGCATGAACAAAAATTATTTTGGTATGGAAGATAATGCGCAACACTATACTAAAATTGAATGGGCTACCAAAATGCTTACTCAAACTGTTTCTACGAAATCTATTATCTTGTTCGCAGCTGTACATAAGTTAACGTACGTAGTATATAAAGAAAAATAAGATCAGTTTTTAATTATTGGTGACTATTTCCTATTTGTCTGGCAAATAATCATGATTACTTTTTATATCTAATTATAATTAATTAATAATGACAAGGGCCGAAAAGTTTAAACTTTTGCTTGGAAATGCTTGTTCAGGGTTTCCAAGCTTAATTTTGACGAGCATGCCTATTTTGCTTATTTCAATGTATAAGGTTAATTAAGTACGGACCCTTTAAGTAAACGGTCAAGAAATAAATTGTTATTATTTCGTGCGTGCGTGGATAGTAGTATCCGAGGAGTTTTGGCATATGATATTTTACAGCCCGCTGTCTCACTTTTTCCTTACGAAATAATGGAACGGGCATATATTTCTGTGGAAAACAAGAGTGCCTTGTACTCTTCACAAACAAGCTTTAGCAAACCATAGTAGAAAGCGTAGCAAATTTCTTAAGAACTTCGTACTGCTTAAGAAAATTTGGCTCAATAAATTTTTATCGCCATTTCTTGGACTTCTTTCTTTCGTCGAACTACATAAATATCTCAAGTAACCTGTAACTTTAAAGCTCACTTTATATTTAAAGGCTGCATTAAAATTTAAGATTGTGTCTAAAGTAAAAAGCATTTCATTATCGGGTTTAAATTGGTTTACAACCAAGAAACATACATACGTCAAAACCCGATAATAGAAATGTTTAGCTTTATTTTTTAATCCAACTTTTAAATATAAAGTGAGCTTTAAAGTTGAAGGTTACTTCAGAAAACGGCCCTTAGTAGTTGTACGCTAGCAAAAACCCAATACAAAAAAAACACAATTTGTTATAACCCCTCCTACACACATACATACATAGTTTGAAGAAAATGTTTTGTCGTCATTAAATTTTTCACCCTTGGCACGTCCTAGTCAGCTGATTAAGTTAAGTGACTATTCGACCAGTTTTGGCTATTTTCATGAAGAAATTAAAGGTACTCTTAAATTTGTATATGAGAAATGAAATCGGTTTTGTTTTTTTTTTTGTTAAAAATTACTTACTTTTTTGTCTATTTAATGTTTATTTAAAAGTCTAGCACGTTCCATAACCAGTACCACTTAAATCTAAATTTCAAATTTCGTACAAAAATTATAATTCAACAAACTTTATATTATATTATACTATATATACATATTATATTTCATTCAGAATTAAAAAGAAATAGGTATGCAGTTTTAGAACCCATTAAATTTTTGTAGTGCTTTGACTTTTCCTAATTTTTTTGGCTGACAGTGTTGTACATTTTCCTCCATATAAACAGGCCTGGGCGACGCCGACTGTGCAGTACCCTTGGGATAACGTCGCGTGTTCGTAAACACGAAGTTGAAGGCGAAACTTAAGCGCAAATTAATCACTGTTTCCTAACGAATCGTATAAAATTCAATACGCTAAATTACATTTCATTTTCGCCTTCAATCTCGGGTATACGAACAGGCGAGGCCTGCATAGAGTATGCTCGGCAATTACATACTTCTACGTGTAATTGTAAAACTTTGTTGAATTTTAAAAATTCTTGTACGAAGTTTGAGCTTTGGATTTACATGTGTGGTGCTGGTTATGTAAATAAACAACAACAAAAAAATAGCCAAACCACAAGTGTATGTATGCATATGACAATATGAACACTTTTAAATCTGGTTGCAAATCTCGAGTTTGGCAAAGCAACAATTTATATGCCGTCAAAATCCTCTCTAGTCAGCTTGCAAACTAGGAAGGATTATTACAAACATTTTTTCCCGACCCAGTCTAATGTACATACATTTAATTGCATTCATAATACAATTCAATTTTATAATGCATACATACATACATACAGAACAAACAATTCTTCAACAAAGAAACTAACCCATCGATTCTCGATCAAACAAGAACCAAACCAACATCAACGGTTCAAGCTATGTAGCTAACGGCACTTCGTTAAAGTGTAGTCATCAATTTACCTTCCAATTTAATATACTACAATCGCTCATTTACTTCAATCGTGTCATAACTCAAAAAAGGAGAACTCGAGAAAAACAGCTTTATGGTTTTGAATTTACATATCGTACAAAACCGCGTATCGTCGTTTCGCAAAACCGCGTAACTGATATTTTTGGCCAAAAATTGCATTTGCTCAAATAAGCTAAAGTATTATTCATTCGTCCTGAAATATACCAGCCAGAAATGCGATTGCTTTATAAAAAAGAGAACGTTTTTTATATATGAATGTTTTACTCCCTAGAAAATAATTTATGCTACCTGTCATATGCGGTTTTGCATTTTGTTGATATGCGGTTTTGTACTTGAACCGACAATATACTCCCATGGTAAAAATTAATAAATATTTTGTTCTAGTGAGATACTTGTAATCTATACAGCTATGAAATTTTTACACAACATAGATAAGGTAGCCGTAATTTCTACATACTTTACTCAATATTTGCATTTTTGGGATTATGACATTAATTATGTAAATAAGCGATATATATGTATGTATGTACATACATAAATTTTAAATTCACAAATTCCTAAAAACAACAAAGACATCATAACAGAAAAATTAAACATGGAAAAATGTGTAAATGATAAAAACATAAAGTAATGAGACTTATTTACGATCGTTTGGACGCAGATATAACCAACAATATACAGACGTACATACGTTAGTATGTACATATGTATGTTTGTAAATCAAAACAACGCTAGCAGCAACTAAAATTGCAGCAAACAACATTAACAATGAACACCAATAACAACAACGACAACATCAACAGCAATAAATATCTATACCTACCGATTTACTACTCACAAGTCCATGTGGTAATCCAACTTGCGGCGGTATATGCACCGGCGGCACCGTAGGAACTGGCGACGGATTTACTACCGATGGCGGTGGTGGAGCGACTAGTGAGCTGCCAGCTGCACTGTGCGGTACATCGTGTGTAGTGCTGTGGGCCTGTTGCAGTCCGCCCGCTGAATAATATCCGCCATTTAGTCCTGTTTGTTTGTATACATTTTTAGCACATAGCATAGTTACATCATTAATATATGAATGTTTGCTTCAGTTTTAACTACAATTTTATATTTACTATCTAACGCTGCTTCGCATTTTTTGATACCAGTTATTGGAATTTCAAAATTTTTCGCAATAAAAAAAAATAAAATCAAGTCTATTATATTTCTAAAATTCATTAACCTAACGCAAGTCCCTCCAGTGACAGAAAATGTATATTGAAGAGTTTNATTAAATCAAGTCTATTATATTTCTAAATTTCTGTAACCTAACGCAAGTCCCTCCAGTGACAGAAAATGTATATTGAAGAGTTTAATTTAATAGTTTTATAATGCATTCATACACACGGACACACTTGCATACTGCATTTCAAATGTTCGAACTTATTTACATCAATGTCCTAGCACAAAACTATTTACATACATATGTAGGTACGTATCCATAAGGAAATCACAATATTTAAAACTTGTTTTGGATTTTAATTTATCAAAGCCTACATAGTGAGTATCTACACTGAAAATGTGTAACTGGTAAAGTCTACCTAGGAACTGTGTCAATTGAGGAAATGTTGACGGATCGAACTAAAAATTTGTCATTTGGCGTGGTGAATACGAACTTGACAGGTTCTGAATATGTATATACATTATATTGTTTGGTGGTAATAAAGAGGTAAAATCAAAATGGAAGCTAAAAAAGCGTACGTTACTTGCAAATTATAAAATAAATATAAATTTTAACAATTTCAGCAACACACAAAAATAGAGCTTTCGGGTTAACGATTGTTTGGTTTTTCACCTGTCCAAATTTTACTTTGCATTTGGCACAAAAAAATTCAGTTCCGTCACACCACGGAGAAAAAAGTTATCGTTTGACACATACCCTTAGAGCAAAATTTAGTTATACATACTAAAAGATAATAACTCTCGAGGGAAAGTTACAATAACTAAATTTCTTAGAATTTGACATCATTCGCTCTTATTAAAGAGCAAGCTATCCAAAAAAGCAACAATTTGCAAGTTTCACAAGTTAAAACAACTTACCTACACTGGCGGTCAAAAGTGGATGAATGGTATTTTGTTTTTAATATTTACAACAATTTTTAAGCAACAATTGTTTTTTTTTATACAAATTTGTTCCATGCTTTAACAAAAACCATATAAACAACACTTTCAAACTTTATACAGAGTTTAGAAAAATTCCACCAATTTTTATCTAAATTTCGAGCATTTAACCAGAATTTAATAGAATTTAAAGAAATAGCGAAATTTACGAAAACTGGCGTTGACTTTTTTATTTTTTTTTTCAGCATATTGGAAAAAAGGTGCAAAACACCGTCAACAAAAAGAAATATTATATACTAAAAATCAAGCGATTTTCCAGCCGCTCAAAACTTGCACTTATTTTACTAAAATTTTATAAGGCTGTTAATTTAATAAACATTTTGGGTAGAAGCTTGAAATTTAGATAAGGATTTGTGGAATTTTTCGAAATTCTGTATAAAATTTTAAAGTGCGATTTTTATGGTTTTTGCTAAAGCAAAGTGTATCTCGGATAACTGCTTTACCGATGTTTGCCAAACTTCGTTGAATAATTTCTTTAGCTCTAACTGAGCATATTGTCGAAAATATTTGTAAACGAGAAAAAAACAACTCTGCTTATTATGTAAGGTTAGTTTGCAGAAAGATGAGAAAGCGATGTTTAATACGTAAGTTCCGGGTTCTACAGATTATTTTTTTAAAGGAAAGGTGGTCCCATACTAATTTGGTTTAGATCCGAACATTAGACGGTGCTCTTAAATTTTTATATGAGAATTGAAGTCGGTTCTGTTTTTTGCTTAAAAATTTTTTGTTTTCTAATTTCTTTTATTTCACTAATGTAATGGTTATTAGAAATATCTTCATCATTATCATCAATATTAATCATTAATGATAATGATCATTATTGTTATCATTAAGATGGATCATCAAATGTAATTTTCAAAAAAAAAAAATAAAAATAAAAAATTAATAAATATTAAACTTGATCGATTCGGGTACAATTTAAAGCGGTCCAATGTGGGGTTGTCCTTAACCCAACGCAAACAAAAAAGTTATGCGCGAACAAATATGTATGTATGTATGTACAAAAAATATGTATATATGTATGACGCATAGATAACTTCCTACTTTTTTAACTCGGTTATAAATAGGGAATGTATGAATGATTTTTAACGAGCGCAACGAATATGAAAAAGTTGCTAATCCATTTGGAATCGTTTGCAATGTCAGCTTGGAGTTGAGAGTACTTGTTTTGAAATGTTTATCGTTTGTAGCTGCATTTAAATTTCGCTCAAGTTTTTGGGGAATAATGCTGAAGTGACCGTCCTTGGCCAGATATAAATCTGGGTCGTTTTGGTAACGTAGACCCGACTGTATTGGAAGGAAAATATATTGTGTCAATATCAACTGCAATGCAATGAGTCTCTCTACAAACTGATACGTAAAAATGTCACTCCTAGTTGACATTGTACGTAAACGCACCTTTCATGATTCGAAATCGACTGTTTCTGAATATTTAATGGTCTCCAAGGGGGAAACTTGGCAGCACTGGATAGATTTCGAGGAATTTCGTCGTCTTCTTATTTCAATTGTACAATTTATGTAGTATAATTTACGAGTTACGAAATGAGGCTGATTATTTCAGTTAAGGATTGCCTAAAATAAATTTTTCTGCCTTACTGTAACACTGAAATATGTATTCAAATTAAATTGAAGAACAAGATAAAAAGTTTAAAGAAAAATCAGAGATCGAAAATAACCCACAACAGAGAACAGGTGGTTTATTTGGCATTTGGTTGGCTCTCGCTCAGTGGGAAAGCGTTCTTTACATATAATTTCCGTTGCTGTTGGTCTCGGACACTTGTCGCTGGGAGAGAAAAAATAGGTGTTAGATTAATTTTTTGGCTTAACCTAACTCAAAATATACTAAAATATAATAGCACCTTTACCAAAATTTAATCCTACTTATACTGGTATATGTACATATATGTATGTAGGAAAAAAATTTTATACAATAAAATAAAATATAATAAAATAGCTTATTTTCAGTGTATCATGTTATGAGTGTGCACGCTTTCTTCTGTGTTATAAATAACCCACAGCAGAAAACACAAAAATGAGCATACATAGAGATTTGGCACGGTGAGAAACACTCTTGGCTTGAGATATTTGTGTTTCGTGCCAGTGAGAAACACAATAAAAAATAAGTGGAGAGGGTTATTTTCGATCTCTGAGAAAAATTGCTGTAACAAACTTTTTGCGAGATTCGTGTGCTCCATAATGGTCAATGAGAAGCACAACTTAGCATATCTTTATCATCTTCCAGGAAAAGAATTTCATTCAGCCGATTCTCGTGAAAATGCCGCTGAAAACCTGAAATAAAAAATGTTACGAAATTTCGAAGGATATCCGTACCTGCTTTAAAGAGAAACGAAGGTAACAAAAGTGTAGCCAAAGACCTTTGCTACAAATTAAAACCTTTTATTAATAATAGCCCTTGCCTATATACGAGCACCACTTTATTTGATTTTGTTGTTAATTCTAAAAATAAAATACTTCTGTTTTTGAAAATCGGACAACTGGTTTAAAACATTTTATTGTCTGTAGCGGACAATTTTATTCGGCGCAGTGGTTATCAAGCAAGTGTGCACGGATTGCACGGTACAATCAATTCCTGGGAAAATTTTACATAACGTGCAATCCGCACAAGTAAATGTTTTGGTATATGTCGTGATGGACGGGGCACGGTGCATGTAACAGGCAGCGTGTAAAATATACTCCAGCTGCCATCAGACATAGCACAAATTTAGCGTGGTATGTCGTTGGGCGCCACGATCAAAGCTAACAGCCTCATTGCGTACGTCGTAAATTAGACTAAAATGCACGACTCGACAACATTGGCATTGGCATAGCCTATTGTCGTGCTGAAATAAGTATACGACGAAAACTGTCGAAAACTATCCAGTGCTGCCATGTTTTCCCATTTTAATACAGTAATCGAATTAAATTTTTAGGCAATGCCATGCTTTCTACGACTCGACTCTCGAAAAACGAATTGCATTCGACACGACACTCGCAATGAGGCTGTAAATTCTACAACCTCGGCGTCATTTGTTCGCACGCTCCGACGGAGGAGAAGGACAACACCTCCGACAACAGAGAGAGGCTGATCGATTTCGCCCCTCTTCATCGACCAGATATGTATAAATGAGCAATGGAAATCCATCTCCCAATCTCTTCGTGCGGCAGCGGAAAGGGGTGTTTGGATTCCACCACCCACGCATGAACAACTGGTATGACGAAGAGTGCCGTGTGGATGCTGCAGAGAAATACGCAGCATACAAAGCCACCCTGCACTCAATAGCTATGCGAGCGGCAGTTGAACGATAATTTGAGATGAGAAGTCTTTTTAAAAGAAAGAAACTTGAGGAAGAAAGGCGTGAGTGCGATGAGCATCGGCCCTATGCTGAATATCGTCGTCAGTAAAAGTGACGACACGGCCATCGTCAGCCATATTACTGATCGACGATGATGACGACGATGACGTTGACGATATTCAGCATAGGGCCGCTTGAGATGCTGTCAGGCAAGAATACAGCTCGAAAACTCTACCAGAAAATAAATAGTTTTGAGACCGGGGCCAGTTCCTGCAAAGATGAAGAATGAAATCTGGTAACAGATGTTCACTTGAGATATGCAGGGAACACTTTTCAACGCTTTTTAATGGCGACCCAGGTGGAGCGTTTGATGACCAAGACCAAGTGTGAATAGCATTAAGGCGGCTTAAAAACAACAAGTCCCTCGCAGTTAACGGTATACCGGCTGAGCTGTTCAAAGTGACGGTGGCGACATGTTGGTGCGCACGTACCAGACTTGGTCTGATGAATATATGCCCCAAGAATGGAATCGGAGTGTACTTTGTCTAATCCACAAGAAAGGAAACCCCGCCGTTTACACCAACTATCGCAGAAAAGGCCCTCTTAATATTGCACACAATGCCCTGCCGACGATACTGTGTGAAATACTGGAGCCCTTTACGAACCAACTTCAGACCTGTTAAGTTCATAATTTACCAGATTTTCACAGCACGTCAAATTCTGGAAAAGACACTCAATATGGAAATCGACACACCATATTTTAGTCAATTTTAA